CCTTGTTCTCCTCTGTCTTTACCTCATATGTGTGCTGAAAGTAGGGTTTTTCGACTGCTGAAGTTCACGACAGCAGTGGTGTGGTGGTGGTTGTACTGTGTTGAATGGTGTGTGGATGATTCTGAATAGTTGAAAGTAAAACCTTGTGTCGTGTGGTGGTGTTCATACTGATTTCTGTAGTGGTGTTCATACTTCCTTGTGAGGTGAGCAGATTTAGTTGAAAATGTCGTCAACCGGAGATGGTAGTGACAACAAAACTGGGGTGATGATCTCTCCAGATTATCTAAATGTTCAAATGACATCCACTAAGCTGAATGGTGAGAACTATGTGCCTTGGGCCATGTCGGTGGAGGTGTTCAAAGGCCAAGAAGAAGGTGAAGCATGTGAGGGAGGAAAAACCTTCCTCTAACTCCCTAGGGTTTAGTGATTGAGAGCAGGAGGATGCTCAAATTATGACATGGTGGTGGAATGGCATGGAGCCAAAAATCAATATGAACTTTATGTTCCTAGATACAGCTAAAGAGATCTGGGATCATGCTAAGAAACTGTATTCCGGGCAAGACAATACAACGAGGGTGTATCAATTGTACCAAGAGTACTTCAATCTGAAGCAAGGTAGCCAAAGCTTGGAAGAATACTATGCAAGTTTGAGGAATATCCGAAATGAGCTTAATGTGTATCATCCTCTGACACTGGATGTTCAGGTTCAGCAACAACAACGTGAGCAACTTGATGTAACGAGTTTTCTGGTGGGTTTGAAGGCTGAATATGAACCTGTCCGTGTACAAATACTGGGGGGGTCTGCCCTTCCCTCACTTGATAAAGTGTTTCCCCATCTTAGGAGGACATCTATTGAGTCTATAGAGCATTCTTCTCTCTCAGACAGATCTGGTTTGGTTGTGGCTAGAGGTGGAGGCCGTGGAAATAGAGGTGGTGGTGGTAGTGGTGGTTGTTGTGGACTTCTAGGAAACCGAGGTGGTCCCATGTTTAACCGGGCTGGTGGCCGGAGTGGAGGTCAAGACTTAGGGGGGGCCGTGGTAAAGGAAGAAGTAATGCTCCTAGGAAGTGTACATACTGTGGATTAGACGGGCACATTGTTAATTTCTGCTATGATTTACATGGTCCACCCAGCACTTGGGTTAACCATGTTGTGACTAGGGGCAGTGATACAGTTAGTGAAAATCAGCAAATGGATCAGACTCCCTCCACATCTATTGGTGCTTCTGGAAAGGAGATGGTGAGTGTACCTCGTGCAGTATATGAGCAATTCCTTCAAACATCTTCTCAGCAGAACACAGCTACCCTTGCTCATTCAGGTATGGCTTGCTTGGCTTCCAAGCCTTCACACTAGATCATTGACTCCGGAGCCTCGGACCATATGTCTAGGACTCCAAATGTATTCTCTTCTCTTTCTCAGTCCTCCACATCTCAAACAGTTACTCTTGCTAATGGTTCTACATCTCCCATTTGTAGTGTTGGTGATGTTGATCTCTCCTTATCTTTATCATCTGTTTTATATGTTCCTAAGTTCCCTTTTAACCTTATGTCTGTCAGTAGATTAACCAAGTCACTTAATTGTTCCATAACCTTTTATTCCTCTTCTTGTGTGTTTCAAGATCTCAAGACGGGGATGAAGATTGATGGAGGGCATGAGGTAGGTGGATTGTATTACCTTGATGGTGGTGGTCCTCCAGTAGCCTTTCAATCGTCTCTTACTCCTCTTCAATGGCACTGTAGACTTGGTCATCCTTCTCTCAAAACTTTGAAGTTGCTGGTTCCTTTTTTGAGTCATCTTTAATCGTTGGATTGTGAATCGTGTCAGCTTGGGAAACATCATAGTCTCTTTCAGTCCAAGAGTTGATAGTCGTGTTTTGAGTCATTTTTCTTTAGTTTATTCTGATGTTTGGGGTCCAATCAAAGTGATGTCATACAATGGCTATAAGTATTTTGTAATTTTTGTTGATGACTTTTCAAGAATGACATGGATTTATCTTATGAAAGATCGTAGTGAATTGTTCTCCATTTTTCAGAAATTTTATGCTGAAATACGTACATAGTTTGGTGTTCATATTAAAATTCTTTGCTCCGATAATGCAAAAGAGTACATCTCCACACCATTTCAGCAATACTTAGAGCACCATGGGATAATTCATCAAACATCGCGTTCCTACACTCCACAATAGAACGGTGTAGCTAAACGCAAAAATCGACATCTCCTTGTAACTGCTCGGTCTATGATSCTTAATATGAATGTCCCAAAGCGTTTTTGGAGTGATGCTGTCCTCACATCATGTTTTCTCATCAATCGGATGCCCATGTCCATCCTTGGAAGTCAATCCCCCTTCTCCGTGTTGTTTCCCACTTTGTCCCCGTTTCCTCTTACCCCGAGAGTCTCTGGGTGTGTTTGCTTTGTTCAAAATTTGGGTCCTGGTTTAGACAAGTTAAATGCACGAGCTACTAAGTGTATCTTCCTTGGTTACTCCAGGACTCAGAAAGGGTATAAGTGCTATAACCCTAACTCCCATAAGTCATTTGTGTGCTCCGATGTCACCTTCTTTGAATCAGTTCCTTTTTTCTCAAACACTGTGGTTCCTTCTCCTTCCCCTGTAGTTCCTCTTCCTATCCCTGTTGAGGATTCTCTTCCCGTGGTCCCCATTCCAGTTGTAGTTCCCCCTGTAGTTCCTCCTCCCGTGCCAGTTACTACTGAGAAGCCACCAATCAGACAAGTGTATACTCACAGAAGCGCACCGGCCCCTCCTCCAATCCAACCCTCGTCGATAGATCCTATGGTTGGTTCTTCTCCCTCGGACCTTGATCTTCCTATTGCCTTGCGGAAAGGTAAACGCACTTGTACTTCTCATTCTATTTCACACTATGTTTCTGTTGCTCACCTTTCTGCTTCTCATCGCAACTTTATATCATTGCTATCATTTGTTTCCATTCCCAAGACTGTCCAGAAAGCCCTTACCTCCCCAGGGTGGCGGCAAGCAATGAAATAGGAACTATCTGTTCTACAACACAACCACACGTGGGAACTCACTGCTCTTCCTCTTGCTAAGCATGTTGTTGGGTGTAAGTGGGTCTACATAGTGAAGTATCTCCCAAATGGCAGTGTGAAAYGATTGAAGRCCAGGTTAGTGGCCAAGGGCTATTCTCAATTGTATGGTGTGGACTATATGGAGACATTTTCTCCTATGGCTAAAATTGGTTCAGTGCAGGTGTTGATTTCCTTAGTTGCTATGTACGATTGGCCTCTTTTGCAACTAGACATTAAAAATGCCTTCCTGCATGGTGATCTCATTGAGGAGGTGTACATGGAGCAACCACCAGGGTTTGTTGCTCAGGGGGAGGATGGTAAGGTTTGTAGACTCAAAAAGGCAATTTATTGACTGAAACAATCTCCACAAGCATGGTTTGGCAGGTTTAGTGAAGTAGTGAAAAACTTTGGGATGAAATAGTGTCAGGTAGATAATTTTGTGTTCAGCCATGACTCAAAATATGGGAA